AACCTCAGCACCCAGGCTGTTTAAGTATTTTTAAACAAATTCTACATCATATCATTTTATCCCTGTGTACCTCAGAACTCATCTGTATATTATTCATCTTCTTACATTACACTACTATTATCACACCTGAATAAAAGTAACAGTAATTCCTTGATATCATCCAATACCTAGTCCATAAAATTTTCCCCAACATCTCAAAAATGTCTTTTTACACACATCCACATGCATACTTGTAGCAGCACACCTCACAACTGCAAAGATATGGAACCAAACTAAGTGCCCATCAACCAATGAGTGGATAAAGAAAATGTGGTATATATCCACCACGGAATACTACTCAGCCATAAAAAGGAATAGAATAATGTCTTTTGCAGAAACTTGGATTGAGCTGGAAGCCATTCTTCTAAGTGAAGTAACTCAGGAATGGAAAACCAGATGCCTTATTTTCTCACTTAAGTTGGAACTAAGCTATGAGGACACAGAAACAATACAGAGCAATATAATGAAATTTGGGACCTGGGGAAGGACGGGGCAAGGGGAGTGAGGGATAAAAGACTACATATTGGGGGCCGGGCACGGTGGCTCACACCTGTAATCTCAGCACTTTGGGAGGCTGAAGCGGGCAGATCACAAGGTCAGGAGATAGACCATCCTGGCTAACACAGTGAAGCCCTGTCTCTACTAAAAATAAAAAAAAATTAGCCGGGTGTGGTGGTGGGCACCTGTAGTCCCAGCTACTTGGGAGGCTGAGGCAGGAGAATGGCGTAAATCCGACAGGCAGCGCTTGCAGTGAGCCGAGACAGCGCCACGCACTCCAGCCTGGGTGACAAAGCAAGACTCCGTTTCAAAAAAAAAAAAAAAAAAAAAAAAGACTACATATTGGGTACGTGTACATTGTTTGGTTGACAAGTGCACTAAAATCTCAGAATTCACCACTGCAGAATTTATCCATGTAACCAAAAACCACTTGCAACCCAAAAGTCATTAAAAAAAAATTTTTTTTAATGTCTTTTCAATGCCAGGTGTGGTGGCTCATGCCTATAATCCCAACATTTTGGGAGGCCAAAGCAGGAGGATCGCTTGAGCCCAGGAGTTCAAGAGCAGCCTGGGCAACTTGGTGAGAACTCATCTCTTCAAAAAATTAAAAAAAAAAATTTGTTGGGTGTGGTGGTATATGCCTGCAATCCCAGCTTCTTGGGAGGTTGAGGTGGGAGGATTGCTTGAGCTCAGGAGGTCAAGCCGTGTTCATGCCACCGTACTCCAGCCTGGGTGACAAAGTGAGACCCTGTTTCAAAAAACAAAAAGTCTTTTTTTGACTGCATGTGGTGGCTCATGCCTATAATCCCAGCACTTTAGGAGGCCGAGGTGGGCAGATCACCTGAGGCCAGGAGTTCGAGACCAGCCTGGCAAACATGGTGAAACCCCATCTCCAGTAAAAATACAAAAATTAGCTGGGCATGGTGGCACACACCTGTAATCCCAGCTACTCAGGAGGCTGAGGCAAGAGAATTGCTTGAAACCAGGAGGCAGAGGTTGTAGAGAGCTGAGATCGTGCCATTGCACTTCAGCCTGGGCGACAGAGCAAGACTCCATTTCAAAAAAAAAAAAAAAGTCTCTTTGCAATTAAACTAAATTGTGTCCCCCCACAAGTTCATATATAGGTTGAAGCCCTAATTGTGTCCCCCCACAAGTTCATTGTGTCCCCCCACAAGTTCATACATATGTTGAAACCCTAATTCCTAGTACCTTAGAATGTGACTGTTCATGTATTTGGAGATAGAGCCGTTAAAGAGGTAATTAAATTAAAATGAGGTCCTTAGGGTGGGCCCTAATCCAATCTAACTGGTGTCCTGATAGAAAGAGAATAGGACATGTAGCAGACACTGGGAGTGTGCATATACAGAGAAATGACCATGCAAGGAAGTGGCAAGAGGGCAGCCATCTGCAAGCCAAGGAGAGAGGCCTCAGAGGAAACCAATCCTGCCAGCACCTTGATCTTGGACTCCTAGCCTCCATAACTGTGCAAATATTAATTTCTGTTGCTTAAGCCACCCAGTGTGTGGTATTTTGTTATGGCAGCACTAGCAAACTAACACACAGACTATCCAAATCAAAACAAGGTTCACACATGACATCTGGTTATAATTCTTAAGTCACTTTATTATTTTTTTCATGTCATTGACTTGTTGCAGAAGCCAAGTCAGTTGTCTGACAGAATGTTCTACATTCTAAATTTTTCTGTTTGTTTCCTTAGAGAGTAATTCAACTTGTCATCCTTTCCCCCATCTTTCCAATATATTAAAGTTAGCTCTAGAGGCTTAATGAGATTTTAAGAGTCAATGTTTGGGTAAGAATATTCCATAAGTGGTGCTGCACAGTTTTTTTTTTTTTTGAGATGGAGTTACGCTCTTGTTGGCCAGGCTGGATTGCAATGGCGCAATCTCGGCACACCGCAACCTCTGCCTCCCAGGTTCAAGTGATTCTGCTGCCTCAGCCTCCCGAGTAGCTGGGATTATAGGCATGTGCCACCACACCTGGCTAATTTTGTACTTTGAGGAGAGATGGGGTTTCTCCATGTTGGTCAGACTGGTCTCGAACTCCCAACCTCAGGTGATCCACCTGCCTTGGCCTCCCAAAGTGCTGGGGTTACAGGTGAGAGCCACCAGGCCCGGCCTGCATATTCTCTTTTTAACCTGACAAAAAACGCGTAGGTAAACTTTGTCCAGGTTCTTTCTGCCTCTATTTGTCTTGACCATATGCTGATGAAGTACCTGCTCATCTCCACACGATTTGTTTAGGCTAGTTGGTGACATTCACTTTATCCTACAAAAGAGTTCTGCTTTGACCTACTCCTTGAGAGCTGAAAGGAGGCCAAAGAGAGACTGGAAGTAGAAAAGACAGAGCCGTCTACTCTCTGTGACCATATTCCACACGTCCAGTGTGTGCCCACACTACAACCCTGTCAGATGTCTCAATAGTAGTGATCCCTGTTTCCTAGGATTCACTCACATTCTTGCCCACTGACTTCCCCATTAGAGCCTTTTAAACCCCCTGGAAATCTAAAGCCATATTATGACCCAGAGTTTAGATCTAACAGTGACAAAGCTTGCTCAGTTTGTGCTTGCTTTTTGGTTTTTTAAAAAACATTTGTTTCAGTAATACAAACATAGGTGGTTAAATTGTACAGAAAAGTAAGAGAACGATGAACATAAAAGTCAGGATAATCATTATGTCTGGTGAGGAGAAAAGGTGGTATGAGTTCAGGGCAGAGAGTGGACAAACAGCTTCTAGGATACAAATAATGACCCATCTAATAAATTGGATGGCACATTCACAATTTTCTTTCTTTTATTTTTTGAGACAGCATCTCACTATTTTGCCCAGGCTGGTCTTAAACTCCTGGCCTCAAGCAATCCTCCAACCTCAGCCACCTGAGTAGCTGGAATTGCGAACATGTGCCACTGCATCTGGCCACAATTTTAATGTTCATCTTTAAACTGAAAATATGTATTTAAAACGTTCTTTCATACCCATTGTATATTTCGCATTAATTATTTTTATGTAAGCAGTCCACCATAGCTAGAACACAGGGTTTGAAGAGTAGAGTAAAAGGAGAAAAGACTGGAAAAGGAGTTTACTCTACAGGCAAATAGGAACCTTAATCATGCTCTCTTGGAAGTAACATCAGGGAACATTTACACCCAATATCAATTAAAATGGCTGTCTCATAATCTATCTATCAAGAATGATAGGAAAAAAATCCATCTTTTCTAAGTTACCTAAATATGAAATACTCGACATCTTAAACATCTCACTGGGGAACATAATAATATGATTTTGATGTATTTTTCCAGGGAGAGGAGTTTCAGCTTGCCCTAGGGAACACGTTTGCCTCAGATTCTTTTTTTTTTTTTTTTTTTTTTTGAGACAGAGTCTCACTCTGTCACTCAGGCTGGGGTGCAATGGCGCGATCTCGGCTCACTACAACCTCTGCTTCCCGGGTTCAAGTGATTCTCCTGCTCAGCTTCCAGAGTAGCCAGGATTACAGGCACATGCCACCACACCCAGCTAAGTTTTGTATTTTTAGCAGAGATAGGGTTTCACCATGTTGGTCAGGCTGGTCTCGAACTCTTGACCTCAGGTGATCTGCCCACCTTGGCTTCCCAAAGTGCTGGGATTAGACGTGTGAGCCACTGAGCCTGGCCTGCCTTAAGTTCTTAAATGACACAAAGCTGGGAGGGATGCAGAACAAATGTTTTACATGACAGAATTAGAATATATCTTGGCAAGCTGGAGTGACAGGTCAAATCTAGGCCAATTTCTAATAACATCTCACATTTGTTGAGAACACTCGATATGCCAAGAGCTTTACATAATTTATCTCATTTAATCCCTACAACCACACGGTGAAGTTAAGATCCAGGAAAGTAACTTGCCCAAGGTCATAAAGCAAGTTAATAGCAGAGTCATGATTTGAACCTAGGTTTGCAAACTCAAGTTTCAGTCTCAAGTGAGATTCCTTCAGCCACCAGAAATTAACATTCAAAACTGAATCCTCTGCTAACACATTGGGAATTAAGAAAACAATAATAAATAAATAAAAATCTCAATCCTCTTTAATTCAGCCTGTCACCCTCAGAAAACTGCATCACCCAACCCCAACCCTCTTGGGCATATGAGGGTATCAAGTACCTCCAAAGAATGATCAAATGAAAAAACAAACAAAAACAAAAAGAATAATCAGATCAGGCCATTTTCATTAATGTAACACTTGGGGACCCCCAACAGCTGCCAGGAAACCTCCATCTGTCCTCAAGAGCAAGTCCAGTCTCAAAAGCAAGCTGTAACAGGATTCTCTCTACAACCCATTCCCAGCTCAGCCATGTCTGCCTCCCCATCTGTATTTAAGACTTTGCAAAACTCAAGCTCTGCAGTTATAAATGGAGGCCCCTTACCACAAAGGTTGCTCAGCAAGACCCCTCAGTCAGGCTATTCCCTACCTTCAATTTTCTCTCGTCCTCAGGGGCACTGTGATTTGATGGGTGTGTATAGCTGAGAGAACAGCACAACCGGCTCCAGTGCACAGTCATATCCGATGGAGCTATCCCGAAAGACAGCCAGAGAATTTTAATGAAAACCAGAAAACCCCTGGCTGCTAAGTCCAATTGCAGTTCAGGCCTGCCAGCCCCTCCCCCTGCAGCTAAGAATCTCTGAGCCAGCTTTGCCCCAAAGAGCAGGGAAGAAAATCCATTTTGCATTCAGTAAATCCTTCCACAGCAGCCATTTCCAGGGTCATTTAGGTTAAAGGTGAGGCATATGATAACTGCAATGGGGCCCAGGGACCCTGAGAGGCACAGGGTGTGGCAGCAGCAGATTTGAGCCAACAGATTATGAAACAGTCATTTAAAAAAAAACAAGAAGTCTTTCCTTCTGCCAAAGCTCTCTGCCCACAGCTGCATACAAGGCTAGCGAGGAATCTTAACAAGCTTAAAGGGGCCGTATTTCAGATACTCGAGAACCAAGACAGGAGGAAATAAGTATTTTGAGCACTTACTATGTATCAGGTGCTCTGATCTCATTTCATCCTCACTGTGAGATGGGAACTGTAAACTGCATGTAACAGATAAGAACACTGACTCAGAGAGGTTCCGTAACTTGTCCAAGGAACACAGTTAGCAAGAGGGGAAGCGAGATTGGAAAGTTCAGTGTGGGTGAGGCTCATCAGAAGTATCAAACTTTTTGTTAGCAGAGAGCAGAAAAAAAGAAAAAGAAAAGAAAAAAAGAAAAAGAAATACTAAACTCAAAATCCTGACCTGTCCTGACTAATAAAAAGAATGACCATTTACTGAACACTGGCTATGTGCCAGGCACTAAGCTAATATTTTTACATGCACTGTATCCCCTAATCCTCACGGCAACTAGATAAGATATAGGTTGTTATTACCTACATTTAGTAATGAGCAAACTATGGCTTAGACATTCAATAACTTGATCAAGGTCACTGCATCACCAGGATTGGAACCCTGGTCTGTCTAATTCCAGAGTGCTCACCTTAAAACACTCACCCTAACAGCCTTCAGAAGGGAGCCATCTAGATCATCATGCCAAGCAGGCAAGTTGCAGGGAGATTTCTGCTCCCCTCCCCAGCAGGTAATGCACATTCCAGACTTGCCTTTCAATTCCTCCCAGCACTCTTCAGTGGAGGCACAGAATCACTCGCTCTGGGAAAGCTGATAGCTATGGTTCCACCTTCCCATGTACCACGGACTCTGCTGTCCCGACATGAGTGAAGGAGAACGCCACCACCATGATCCAGAGACTCACGTGAGTACAGAAGCAGACAGCTTCTTTCCCCGGGCCCTGCTCCATAGGCCCATGCAACCTCAAGCGGCAACCTCTTCCTCAACAGCTCACAGGCCTGTTTTGTATTCTTAACAGGAGACCACGTGCCTCCTCTTTGAGCAACTGTGATTTCCCAAGGGAGATGACTGTCTAGACACAGCATCTATCTTGACAACCAGACTGGGCCACACGACGTTCGGTTTGATAATTTAGATTTTAGGGTCTGTGTTCAGCTCTCCAGTGAAGGCTGTGTGCCTGGCACCTCTGGGTAATCAGATTGAGTATCATTCAGTGCAACAGCTGATACCCTGGGTTAGAACCGTCTTCCCAGCCAGGCAAGTGTTACTTGAGGGAAGTCACAGGCATCTTATGGATCACACACACACAGGCACAACACACAAACAGTTCCATTAATGAGGCTAAAACCTGATAGAACTCTTCTATGCATGTTTAGAATTAAGTGCCAGGCTTTGACTGGTGGTAGACTGAATACCTAATATGTATCAGGTACTGTGGTGGGTACATTCACAGTCAATGTCTTAATTGACCTGCACTACATTCTGTAAGGTAGATAAAATTGCCATTATTCAGATGAGGCAACTAAAGCCCAGAGAGATAGCATAATTTGCCCAAAGTCACACAGGAAGTGGCAAAGCTCAGGTTCAAATTCTTTTTTTTTTTTTTTTTTTGAGATGGAGTCTCACTCCGTCTCCCAGGCTGGAGTGCAGTGGCGCGATCTCGGCTCACTGCAACCTCCACCTCCCAAGTTCACGCAATTCTCCTGCTTCAGCCTCCCCAGTAGCTGGGAATACAGGCAGGTGCCACCACACCCAGGTAATGTTTGTATTTTTAATGGAGACAGGGTTTTATTATGTTGGCCAGGCTGGTCTCGAACTGCTGACCTCAAGCTATCTGCCAGCCTCAGCCTCCCAAAGTGCTAGGATTACAGGGATGAGCCACCACACCCAGCCTCAAATTCATTTTTAATGTGATTCCAACACCCTTTCAGTCAATTATGAGGCCATTCATTTATTCCTCAGATAATTATTGAGCACCATCTATGAGCCAGCTACTGGGACACTTACAGAGGATACAACTGTTAACGTAAGGTAGGTCCAGTCACCAAAGAACTAATGTTCTTGTGAGGATAGATGACAATGCAGATAGATAATTACAGAATGATGAGATGGGGCCTTAGAGGAGTGATGGGGTCAGGTTTCTCTGAGAAAGTGAGATGTGACCTGAGACCTGAAAGATGAGAATGAGCCAGGCATTTGCAAAGCTAGGAAAAGAGCGCAGGCAATAGATAGAAGAAGTGCAAGGGTTGGCTACTGGAAAAGGCTTGGCGTGTCCAAGGAACATAAAGGAGAACAGGGACCAAGGCCGGGTGAGCAGCAGGGAAAAAAGAACGGTTGAGATGACACAGGGCCTTGTTGACCATGGAAAACACTTTGAATTTTGTTCAAAGGGCAATGGGAGATCAAAGAAGAGTTTTAATCAGGGAAATAGTGTAATCTGATTTGCGCTTTAAAGAGATAATTCTGGTTGCTGTGTGGAGAAGTGAGTGTAGGGAGTGGGCAAGACTCAGGAACGAGGGAGAGAGAACGGTGGCCTGGACCACGATAATGGTAGGGGAGTGGATTTTACATTTGGGAATGAGAAAGAAAATACTTGAGGTGAAACTGTTTTTTTTTAAAAAATAAAAATAAAAATTTTGAAATTTAATTACAATGTAAAAAGATAAAAAGACAAATTTTTTTTTTTTTTTTTTTTTTTTAGAGCAAGTCTTGCTCTGTCACCCAGGCTGGAGTACAGTGGTGTGATCTCGGCTCACTGCAACCTCTGCCTCCAGGGTTCAAGCAATTCTCCTGCCTCAGTCTCCCTAGTAGATGGGATTACAGGCGCCCACCATCATGCTTGGCTAATTTTTGTATTTTTAGTTGAGACAGAGTTTCGCCATGTTGGCCAGGCTAGTCTCGAACTCTTGACCTTACATAATCCACCTGCCTTGGCCTCCCAAAGTGCTGGGATTACAGGCGTGAGCCACTGCACCCAGCCAAATGAATTTTTTAAAAAATAATGAAAATACTTGCTGATGAATGGCATGTGAATGGTGAAGGGAACAAACTCCTAGGTTTCTAGCTTGAACAACTGGGTAGAGGGTGGTACCACGTATTAACAGAGACTGGAGGAGAAGCAAAATGCTCATGAGATAACCAACTATATCACACTAAGAAGAAAAAAAAAAGTGGACCCCAGTTGTTTATTCAAGGGGAAGCTAGGAATTAAAGGCCTGAAGCTGCTACTCTGGTGAAAATAAAGTGTTTAGGGGTTATGATAGAGAATAAAGTGCAAGAATCTGAAAGGCTGCCTTAGGAAACAGGGGTTCCACTTACTTCATGTGGCCATCACTGCCAAACTGGAACCAATGTGTGGAAGACAGACATAGGAAAGGAATTCAGTCTGACGTAAGAAAGGGCTGTCTCATGGTCAGAGTGAAATGAGCTGCCTTGGGAGTGGGAGAGGGTGACTTTTCTGTCATTGGAAGTGTTAAAGAAAAAAACAGATGACCCCTTGTCTACAGGGTTAGAGAGAGAATTCAGTAATTGAATAGGGAAAATGCTACATAAAATCCTCCTAAACTCTGGAATTCTGTGGTTTAAAGATAAAATCTTAATTAATCTAACCTTCAGGACTGGAGTTTCTCCAACAGGGCAGAACTCCCTTGGTATGTCCTACCTCTCAGAAGGCAAATGAGAACAACGTTAGCTAATTTTAGTCACTATAAAGTGACTCCTAGTTCATTTCTAAGTGTCAAACAAGATGTTGAAAGGCTTTTTGGTGTAAGTGAAAGGCATAAGCTATGGAATTGGATATCACATATCTGCAATTGATTAGCGCTGTGTCCTCTGGCAAATTATTTAAATCCTCTGAATCTCAGTTTATTTCTTTGAAATACGGGGAAAGCAATGCCTTCCTCAAGATGTTTACTGTGAGGACCAACGCCTTGTGCCTGATACATTCAATTAAGAATAATAATGAGGCTGCGTACAGTGGCTGACGCCTGTAATCCCAGCACTTTGGGAGGCCGAGGTGGGCAGATCACCTGAGGTTGGGAGATCGAGACCAGACTGGCCAACATGGTGAAACCCCGTCTCTACTAAAAATACAAAAATTAGCCAGGCATGGTGGCGGGTGCCTGTAATCCCAGCTACTTGAGAGGCTGAGGCAGTAGAATCACTTGAACCCGGGAAGCAGAGGTTGCAGTGAGCCAAGATCGCACCACCGCATTCCAGCCTGGGCGAGAAGAAAGAAACTCCATCTCAAAAAAAAAAAAAAAAGAAGAAAAATAGCTAACATCTATTACTACAGATCCATAACTATATGCTAGGCATGTACTATGTGCATTTTTAAAAATCCAATCCTTACAACAACCCAGAAAGTAGCCACTATTATTATTCCGTTATAAAAACCAGAAAATTGATTTCTAAAGGTAAAGTAACTTATCCAAGAATCATATAATTAGTAATTGCCCAAATTAGGAAAAACCAAATTCAACAAAGTTGAAACAAAAAGATCAAGAAAACCATATTTAGATAAGTTGAAAAAAAGTTACCTACTGTCGAATTAACAAACAATTCAATTCACCAACTAGTCATTTAGTAAATATTTATTAAACATATAAATAAATAACTGAATGAATGAATGATTCCAAAGAACATTTATTGAGTTCCTGCCAGGCACAACATCAAGAAACTAGGGTTACAGAAAATGTACATCAATTTAATTGAGAGTTTGCCATTAACACTACAATCTTCAAACTGCAAATAAACTGCCAACTTAACAACACTTAGTCCATGATAAAAAGTCCTAAGAAATGCCATTCTCAGCTAAGCGCTCATGACTCACGACTGTAGTCCCAGCACATTAGGATGCCAAGGCGGGCAGATACCTTGAGCTCAGGAGTTCAAGACCAGCCTGGGCAACATGGCAAAATCCCATCTCTACAAAAAATACAAAAATTAGTCACGTGTGGTGGCGTGTGTCTGTGGTCC